GCGCTGCCAGCGCTTTCAAGCTCCTCCTTATTGACCGCCCTCAAACGGACGGGTCATCAAATATGCGCGTCGCGCGTACTACTACTACTACTACTACTACTACTACTACTACTACTACTGCTACTAATGCTGCTACTGCTACTCCTGCTGCCGCCCCTCCTACTCCTATTACGAGTGCTGTTACCACCACCCCCGCCTCCGCAACTGCCGCCACCACCATCAGTTAGTCAGAAAAAACATGGGGGTGAGTCAACAACAGGAAGCAACGAGTCGAGAATTTAGTCACCATTCCCTCGGTAAGTTAGTGCCCGGTGGAGGGTCCTTAAACCCTCAACCCCTGAACCCTGTACCCTAAACCCTGGAATCTAAACAGCCTTCGTTTGTTCTGCCTTGTTCCCGACTCTCGCTTGTGAGTCACCCCCCCCTCGTCCCCCCTCGTCCAGGTCTGACTTGCCCTTGCCCTGTTCTCAAAGAATCGTTTCTGACTCAGGGCCTTGCGACTCTTTGCAATGCTTTTTCGAACATGTGGTCACAGAATGGTTTTGCATTGACACGGCCGTGGCTTTGTGCTTCTTGCAGAAGATCTCCTAATGTCCCACATTGGCAAAGGTGAAAAACAAGGTTGCATGCACAGGGTCGGGCGCTGCATGCTCCAACGACATGGAACGCTTTTCTCAGTGCTGCCAAGCGTCTTGTCTGCTTGTAAGGCCGATCGAAATCGAGCCTGCAAAGCTTTGAAGAGGCCATTTCTGATGCAGCCGCTTGCCGTCATGCACGACAGATCTCGGCTGAGCTAACTCGAAGACTGCAGCCTCAGCACTTTCTTCGCGCCAAGCCATGCGATTGGTCTGCAAGTTTGCGAATTACTACAGCTGGAGGAGCACCCTCCAATTGTGAATTTTCTGATGCCTGATGCTGGACATCAACTGCCTTATCCGAATGAATCCAAACCCCTGTCGCATGGCTCAAATCTAATGGCTTTTTCAATGCACCCCATAGTAAGCCATGACATCACTGCGTCACTTCTGCATTTAATTAATCAGGAATGAGACGTTGGCAAAGCATGCCGAAGCATACATGTGCCAAGGATAAGGCCCTGTCAAATAGGGCACACATGGGCAGACTGGAATATCACATTGCTGGAAGCCACGAAGGCGGTCAAGCGCCGCCTAGTGCCGCCATCTCCTGATGTGTGCAGGATGCAGCCAGAGTAAAAGCTTCATGCGTAGCTGAAACTCGTCCTGCGCAGAAGTCTTGCGGCACGCGTCCTGTCTCTTGTCAGGGCTCCTCAGTCGCTACGAGATTTACTTCTGCCTAACTTTGTCATGGCAATGCGAGACTGCTGCTGCCCATGGCAGAGAGCTACAGAAGCATTTTACGGAATGCACATGCGCGTGTGCCTGACACTAGACTGCCAACAGGAATGAAATATGCCACCTCCTCGGTGTCGGGAAGGAGTTAATGTGAAAGGACAAGTGCGGCAAGAAAGCCTGACATCGTCCACTCTGCTTCGCCAAGAAGGTAAAACGTGTTTGGCGACATACTGCGCGCACAATAAACGTTGCACCTTGTCCGCATGGCTTGCGAAGGAGGGCACATGAAAGACGGCACGAGCCGACTTAGCCTCTGAGAACGCGACAGGCACAATCTGAAGCACAGTTGCGAGCTGACCGAGCTGATGGGGGTCCATCAAAAATGGAAGTCAACAAACGCAACTCCCTTGCCACAGATGCTTTTTCTTGCACGCCGCTTGGTTTGGTGTTCCTGCGCGAAACACCTTGCATATGCATTTGCATGAATATCGGCGTCACATTTCAGTACTGTCACTAGCCACATGAACACGACGACTGCCCCTCCGCAGTGCGATCCAAAATCTAACATTGTCCTACCTAGTCTAGGTCTAGGACCTAGCCACGGCGATGCATCAAGCCAGCATCCACACATCGCTGTACACGCTGCTTCTCAAGTTCAAAAACCGATCGCCAGCGAGTCAGCGAAAGCTCATCTTCGCCAAGGGACAAGCAGATTGCATTCGCCAAGGAAACCCATGAGGAAAGAGTGGCCTGTCCAATTTCTTGAAACCCGTCCCGCATCTGCACATAATCTTTGCTCAAAGCTGTAGTCACATCCTCAGACAATCGCACTCTGCGAGTTTGACGTGTGATCAGGCCGAGCAGGAACCGGCAGGCGTCCATATTGGACGGCACATCTGACGCATTCATGGCTTTTGAGCTGAGCGGAAGCACAACGGCATCAGTCTTCAATACCGAAGCACGTTTGGAGGCAACGATGCTTGTGATGTCGGTTGGAACTTCCATGGTGTAAGTGCCGAACACACACGGCAGCATCCGGCTTGAGACTATGCTCTGAATAGCTTGCAATGAGCGAACACCTTCTTCATGTAATTTTCCTTCGCTCAGTTGTGTCTCATCGAGCACAAGGACCGTTCCTCCTGACAATTGGAGCTTGCCAGCCAGCAATCGGTTTGCATCGAAATCTTTTCGCGGAATCCAACGCCCCTTGTTGAGCGACTCAGTTGTCACCGACAAGCTGACGGCTCGGGGCATGAGCTCTTGAATTGCCTGCAGAAGGCCAGCAACTTGGGATGTGTCGAATTGAGTGAGATTTAGTGCCCACTTCCCCGGAACAACATCACCAGCATGGGCAGCTGCGCCGGAAGCCAGCAAGGCCAACACATACTCGGCTGCAAGATCGTCACCCAGGCACTTCTGCAGCAAGGAGAGGGCAGCTCCGCGGGCAGCGGCAAGGGCTCCAGGAGCCGCCAAATGACGCTGAAATGCAGAGCAAAGGCGCTGCTCTGACAGCCAGCTCGGCGTGAATGGGAACATGGGATGGTAACAAGGTAGCTTCCTTACCACCAGACCGTGCAACCTGGGCACTAAAGCTGTGGATGGATCTCGGGCGTCAGCCCCCAAAGTCCAAGCTGGTGTTTCACCAAGGTTTGCCATCGCAGGATCCACACACAAAATGCCCATCACTTCCAATGTTTCACCAAGCTTCAGAGCATCCTCATCGGCATCATACAGCTTCACTATGCATGGTGGTGCCCGCCTCTCTTTTTCCTCCCAAGGCAGAGGGAGATTCAGCCCAAAGGTGTCCGAGTTTTTGCCAATCTCTTGTAGAGCTGGGTTCACGTTTTGGGTACCGTGCCTTGGTCTCAAAACACTCGTGCTGATAGCAGCACGCATGTCAGGGCATGCCTCCATGTCAACGTCATCATCCCGCCTGCAGCGCTTTGTTCCTGTTGCCACGGCAGCAGCTTGCACAGCTTGGGGGTTAGGGGGCCCTCCTGACTGCGCCCCAGACTGCTCTAGTGCCCAGGCTGTTTCACCTGGAAGCGGCACGCAGTAGAAAGCTCCACGCATGCTGAGGGCAGAGTTGCCCAAGTCCTCAAACTCACCGCCTGTTGCAGGAAGTCTTTCCCGATACTTGAGGCTTACCGGGCGGGACAAGCCCTGGCCATTTGCATTCTTCTCCACGCAATACGCTGTGTACATTTCTGGGTCAAACACATCCTGCACCATACATCTGTATCGCACCAAACTGAATGGTGGCAGGCTCTCAACCACATCCGCGTCGTTCAAACATGGGACCCTTCTGAAGTTGTCCTCGTCCTCGAGCTGTAACGCTTGTATGAAGTGAGCCTTCTCACACCACTCACGAGGCGGATTCAGCACAGAACCCTTTGTGCTCGCTGCAAACAAATCATCAATCACAGCCAGCGGATTGGAAATCTCTCGCATGGCGGGCATGAAGCTCATAAAACAACCTTGGCAAAAATCTGAGCCACAAATGGGCAGCGACATCCGGTGTTTCAACATACTGGCTTGGGGTGCGCCCCTCAATGCTTGAGCAGCAGCCCTGTGTCATGCCTCGGCCACAAATTGCTCCAGCATCATCTCCTCCAGTCTGCAATTTCACGTGCCTTCGGTGCTGTTAGCATAATTGTGATACGGCCTGCGCCATTGGATCACGATCTATTCCGTCAAGCACCTTTTGAGTTGCAAGTGTCGAAGGCTCATAACACTAGTGATTCAGAGTGGTGCGGAGGCCTGGATAACATACTTCCTGAAAGTCTCGAACCTTTGGAGCAGTTGCTTGGCCGCTGGGCTCGTGCAACCATGCAGCACGCAATCACGGGCTAAGCATTTTGCTTTACAGGTTGGCCATCTGGATCAAGACGCTCCTTGAAGAGCTTCCTATACCTGTGAGCAAAGCTGACCTGTCCGCCGATCTTTGGGGGCGCGTTGGATGGTCTGAAAAAACAGAAAGTGTGAAGACCTTCTTTTCTCCCCTACAGCGAGGGGTGCTCGGCTGCACTTTGCTGGAGGTCCCCACCTCCGAGGGAAGTCTGAGCTGACCTCCACGTTATGGGCAAGGCCCTGAGTTGGGGGTCTTGCAGGCCGCTGGCACGCGCCGGCTGGTGCCACCCCCCGTCCCTGAAAGCATGGGCGACGCGATAATATTTCGAACATCACACAAGATGCTACTGCACAATAGGCATGATGGATGGTTTGAGAAGTCGAGACTCCCTGTTCCTTTCTTGCCTGATGTTGCAGGGGCAGTGGGGCAGGGGGTATCCGTACTGCATTTCCTGGGAGACACATCGCAGAAGGCCACGGGCCCGTTTGAAAGCTAGCCCCAGAAGCGTCTTGGGCCAGAGTTGAGAAAACTGTAGATTGGGGGCCCAAAAAAGAGAAATGGACCTGACAGTGCCGGCCAACAGGGCCAGCATTATCAGATCATCATTGCGGGTCCGTTTCTCCTTCTCCAGGCTTCTAGTCTGCCCGTGTGCTCTTGGCCAAACATTCAGAGGCCTTCGCTGCAGGCAAAGGCCTTGACAAAGCCAAACCTATACTAAATCTGCATGCAATTTACTCTCTGGTGTTGCCCTTCCCTGGCGTCAGCCGATGCAGCCATAGCTTTGCAATAATAAGAACGGGATCCCACACTGCCGACTCTGCATCATTGCGCCTCCGTTCCTCCAAGGGCCCCCCGAACCCTTCCCCGAAGGCGGCCTGAGATCAACGCGCGCTGCGGGGGCTTCCCCCCTGGATTTTTGAAGGTTTTTGGGTCTTTTGGAACATCTTAGACCCTTGGGCCAGAGCTGAGAAAAGTGTAGATTTTCATGAGAATTGGAGGTCCTGCCCGGGCCGTCCAGCAGGCGGTACGATTCTGATGCGGGCATTGACAACGCTAAACCTGCGTGCAATTTGCCCTTTGGCGTTGCCACGGCGTTGCCGCTCCTTGTGTCAGCCCCTAAACTGGTGAAGACATGTGAAGACTGCTCTCCGCAGAGATGGCGGACCTGGCTTTCACGGCGAGCAGATTGACGTCGCGGCCACGGTGTAGCAGGGCAACCTCCCGTAAGGTCTGCATGGCGCTGTAATGCATAACGTCTGATCACACTTTGAAACGCAGACGTGCACAAGCTGGCAACCCACAACATGAGCCTTGGAATTCAACTGCACCAGCTCCTCTATCTCCAGAAGGCCGTTGCTGTTGAGATCGTGCAAACTGGGCTGTCCATATCGCTCAAGATTGAATTTGCATGTCGGCAGAGTTCTCGAGGTCGCGGAGCTAATGTGACAAAGAGCAAAGAATGACTCTTTTCACCTTGCTGCGCACAGAGTCTCTGTCATAGCATTACCCCGCAGGCCCCAAGTTTTGCGATGCTCATACAGCACCATCTAACTCCATCAG